TAACATCGCAAGTCTCCACTTTTTCTTTAAGTTTATCCAATGGTTCTGTGGATGCCCATGAAATACTCTGCAAGACCAGAAGTCGAAAGAAGCCACGTCTGTGCAAGTTTTGGACAGTTCTTAGAGGAGGATGTAGAGCACCATTGCTAAGGTTTTTTTTTCCTCATCATCCTCAAACATAATCTTGTCTCCATGAATCTGGCGCGCGTCTGCCCGACCTAAAATGACTGTTCGCTGACCGTTTGCTGTTTGGTTGCTATCGGTGCGGAAGAGTGCACAAATTCCTCATGCAGATTTCCTTAGCAGATTCCCATCACAAAATTCTGAGGAGGTGGAAAGTGAAATTTACTGGGTCAGTCAATTACCAGGTGAATTAATGTCTGCTGTGGACATTGCAGAAAATACTTCTAGAATTCCTGTCTTGAAGAAAGTCATGCGACATGTTATGTATGGATGGCCAGACAACTACAAAGAAGAGAATTTGAAGCCATTTCACAAAATTCGTCTTGAACTTACTGCTGAAAATAATTGTGTTCTTTGGGGGGGAAGGGTTGTGATACCTCTGTCCCTTCATCTCAAGGTGTTGGATCTGTTGCACGAAACACACCCTGGAGGCAGCAGAATGAAAAGTCCTGCGAGAAGTTACGTGTGGTGGCCCAACATGGATGAACAAATAGAAGATTTAGTGAAGGATTGTGGCGTGTGCCAGGCACTCCAGTCTTCAATCCCTCATGATAACTATGTGCCTTGGTCATGGCCGACCAGGCGGTGTCAGAGATTGCATATGGACTTTGGCCATTTCCAGGGTTCTGAATTTCTTGTGATCTTAGATGCTCATTCTAAATGGCCTTCGGTGCACGTTATGCCAAAAACTGATTGTGTGGCAGTAATAGAAGTGCTCAGGTCTTTGTTTGCTGCCTACGGCCCAGAGCTGTAATGCGGTTCCTCTTTCGACCCGCACCTCGGGACCGCACGTTTGCGGTGCAGTCCCGGTCCCGGGTTGCTAGTGCGGTGCGGGTCCGGTTCCACTGGACCCGGACCGGGACCGCACCGCAGGCACCGCACTGGGACCAGGTGTAGGGGGGAGCGTAGAGCCGCACCGGCGTCCGAGTTGGCCCCCAACACACCGCACCACCACTCCCCTCGCCTGCACGCTGCCTGCATAGTTCTGCCATCTGTCGGGTTCGAGAGCGAAGGTTCGCGCCCGGTGCGTGCGAGTCCATGCGGTCTCGATGCGGACCCGGACCGAACCCGGGTCCGGCCCAGCGCGCCCGCCGGCGAGCGAGGCGAGCCGAGCCCAGATGTGTCTGTCTGCCTGCCAGCTGCGCGCGGACGGACCCGGACGCTGTACCCGGACGGGACCGCATTACAGCTCTGCTACGGCCTCCCAGAAGAGATAGTGAGTGAGAATGGGCAACCTTTTGCGTCACAAGCTATGTCCGAGTTCCTGCAGGCTAATGGGGTGGTACAAACGTTCTCGCCAACTTACCATCCTCGAAGCAATGGTGCAGCTGAAAACGAAGTAAAAGCGGTCAAGATAGATCTCTGCTCAAGCAACTTCTAGACGAAAGAACCAAGCATCGAACTCCCAGTCATAAGATAGATGCATTTCTATTTACATATAGAAACACACCCCATACAGTGACGAAAGTGTCCCCTGCTGAATTGTTCCTGGGACGACGACCGAGAACTCTAATCTCTATGCTACAACCATCCAATGTATTGAAGATGAAGATTAAAGAACAGCAAGAGAAGCGAAAGGCAGAGCAGAGCCAGCAGATTTCTTCTTTTGGTCCAGGAGACATAGTGTGGGTTAGATGTATTCGCCGTGGCATAATAAAATGGGTGCCCGGACAGATCGACGGGTCCTAGGAGGAGAATACGATCTCGCCGCGCCGAACTAGACAAGTACGATCTCGCCGCGACAAACCAGAAGAGTACGATCTCGCCGCGACGCTCCAGAAGTGTACGAACTCATTTCGCCGCGGCGCGTGCACTCGGAGCTTTAGACGCCTCTTACTCGTCGCAGGCATGTTACAGCAGTTTGGGCGATATTCCATTTTAATGACAAAACAATAAGGATTAAAATGAGATGCCGCCCAAACTTCTGCGATATGCCTGCGACGAGTGAGAGGCGTCTAAAGCTCCGAGTGCACGCGCCGCGGCGAAATGAGTTCGTACGCTTCTGGAGCGTCGCGGCGAGATCGCACTTTTTTGGTTTGTCGCGGCGAGATCGTACTTGTCTGGTTCGGCGCGGCGAGATCGTATTCTTCTTGTAGGACCCGTCGAGATAGAGTCAGTAGAGTCAAGTGTGTCCTACAATGTGCAAGTAAAGGACCGAGTTCGTCGTGGTGTCTTCATCTCACCTGCGACCCCGCTCTCCAGGGGCAAATTGCATTGAAGAACCACCTTTAGGTGGAGTGTAGCCGACAAACCCTCAAATTCCGGAGGGAATGCCTCCAGTCATTCCACCAGTTGTGATTTTAGAGCAGCCTGCCCCCAGTACACCTGCATCACCGGTAGTGGAGCCCATTGTTCCTGAAACTCCAAAGAAGACACCAGTCATTCAAGATACTCCGAGAACACCAGTCGTAGATGTTCCCAAGACTCCAGTCGTCCGTTCAGCCCCAGAAGTCAAGAATACTCCAAAGGTGGTTAAACAACCACAAGCCCCAGGAGTGGAGGACGCTCTGGTCTTCTCCAGGAAGGGAAGACAAATCATTCGTCCAAAACGACTGCTAGATTAATTTTTTTTTGTATTTGTGTACTCCAAAGTATAATTTTGTAGTCTTTCCTAAGTGTCATCAAAATGTGCCATTTGTACTTTGTGCCAAATAATTTTGATAGGTTGGAACTGTTGTGAACTGGTGGAAGGATAAAGGAGGCGAGTTGGTTGGGACTTTGACTGTTTATTGAGGTAGCGTAGCTTCTACAATAGACAGCGCGACTGGGCGCTGAGGGGTCGGGGGTCGGCGCGAGCCGCTTATAAAGGGAATTCCAAGAAGAAGTCAAGAACAAGAGGGGCTGATTGTTAGGGTGGGGGTACCAAAGGAATCAGAGGAGTATAGGCTAGCATTGTAGAGACTTTCAGGAGGGATCGACTGTCATGGCGCCATACATAGGTCTAAGCAGATTAGGTTAGAGTGTTTATTGTGTATTTAGCAGATCACAACAGAACCGTCCTGACTACCAATTAAGTATTATTCTTGTGTCCAAAATTTTTTTTGCTACCCTAGAGTTTGTTACTCATTTTCCTATTACTTGTTTAGTTTTTAAATTTTTATATCTCTTTGTTTAACCAAAAATAAAGACTTACAGCGTCATATGTATGTTCTGTCTAGGATAAGTTTTTTTTACAATGCTCATGTGTATTACAAAATGTGAAATTTTGTTGTTTTGAAATGCTGTGTGTTTTTGTTAGGGGGAAGTGTGTGGTAGAGTGTGAATAAGACGTATGTGAGTGCGAATAGCCTCAACTGTGTATAACCTTGTACCAACTTCCGTCCCGGAATGAAAGCACCTTGAGAAATGAGTTCAGCCATGAAAGAACGTGTTCTAATTTATTCCTATAAATCCAAGAGCATCCATGAACTTTAAGAAGATAATAACCTGGCGTTGTTACAACACCCCAAAAGGCCTAATGATCAGCAAGGAGAAGGTCGGGAGGTTCCGGTTTGAAAAAAAAAAGAAGAAAAAAAAAGTAGTGTGCCCACGAGTGAACTCCCTATGACCATGGCAACTGCACACGTTGCTGTTTTGTCAGCCGGTGCGCACTAGCTCCGCAGCGGTCTGCTGCAGATATTAACTACTAATCATGAGGGTAAAGTTAAGACAAATTGTGTTCTTTTCTAGATGGCTGGAAGACGAAAACTTTCTTTCGTAAAGCCTAACATTCCCTTCACCATAACAGTATTAACTGAACAAAGTCAAGTACAGTACGCTAGCTTAGTGGGAAAAAAGGAACCGATTGGTAGGTTCAAAGTCAAAACTGCGCAAGAAGTAGTAGAACTATATACTGGCGCATACATCGTGTTCCGACAAGAGTCAAATCCTGCCCTCGAATACATCAATGATTTCTTGAAATTTGTGCTTCTACAGAAAGAGATTCCAAGAACAACACGTCAGCCCAAGAATTTTTTAATGGACTTCCTTTCCAAAAAGTATACCATTTTATAGTTTGTCAGAAATACTCTAACAATTTACTTCATACTTAGACTAACTTAAAAATCATAATTAACTTCGCCTGCTCCAACGCCAGTAAAAGCAATTTACGTTGACTGTTGGCACAGTTGAAGACCAATAAAAAAGTGCAAAAGATGTTTAGACCTTCTGTTCGCTAAATGGCTTTTGTATCGATCTTCTGCAGGGTGTTTTTCCTCTTAGAGTGTACCAATAAAACAACACAGAAAACCCAGTTTGAAAATTTATACTTCAATAGTACAATTGAGCTCAATTTAGAACAGAATACACAACCTGATAAGAATCACCCACTTGCTTCACTGCAACACATGTAGATTCACGGTTTTTGCTATTGATGCAAAGCGATGAGCACCTCCATTCTCCAAACAAAATTCACCAATCTGCATTTTAAAAAAACACAATAACAAAAATTACCGAAGGAAAGGGATTCCATAAGCATCCTGCGGGGCCTATCGCCTATCACCTAGAGTCCATGGGAAAAAGAGGTAAGGGGGTCGTTCTACTCAAGGGGCTGCCCGCGCCCGCGAACACGCCCGCCGTGTCGGCGCGCGGGGTGACGAAGGGGACGAGATCAGCGATGACGGGAAAGAAGTGGGCCGAGACGGGGGACCAGCGTGCACGAGGTGGACACACTCAAAGTTGGCTCCGAGGTGCAGCAGACCGACGCGGAGCTAGTGCGCACCGGCTGCGCCAGGGCGTCTACTACTACAACACCCTTGCCAACGTCACCCACGTCACCGCCCGCCCCGAACCTGCGCGCGCTTCGCACCGAGACGCCATGAAGGAAGAGTTCCGTCGCGAACTTTGACGCAGAACGGCGGCGACAACGTTGGTGTTGCTGTTCATTCATGAAAGAATTTTTTTTAAATTATTTTGTTCCTTTTGCCTTTAATGTCTCCACAGTTGTTCCAGCAGTCAAACAAATCATTTGTCAGTTTAAAAAACTTACATAACTGTGGGAGGTCATGATCCTGAATCTTTGATAATTTTCATACTATTTTAAATCTTCATCTACAGAATTGCTCATGGTTTGAAAAGCAAAAATAAGTTTCATTCGCCCATGAGAAGATAAATTAATGTGGTTCCTTGTCAGCTTATTTTTACGAAATTTCGACACCTTGGAATGAAAGGCACGCAGTTCAGCCGCTAGATCCGACATACACGCAGTTCAGCCGCTGGATCCGACATACACGCAGTTCAGCCGCTGGATCCGACATCCACGCACTTCGCACGCTTTATCCGAGATCCACGCAGTTCTCCGCTCCCGTTTGAAACTCACGCAGTTCATTCGGGAGCCGAGCCGTGGAAGACCGCACCGCGCCGCCGGCCGCTGGCCGCGCTCCGCGCCGCTGCGCGCCCCCACCGCACAAGAAACGACATTCTCTATTCGAACTTACGTTTTATCTGGTCTCATACACAACGATGCACCGGCTGTGGTGTTTTAGTGGACAACGCAATGTTGCGGGTTTGAGAACACGAACGAAATCAGCAGCCGGCAAGCGGGAGGCGAGCGGGCGAGCGCGAGGGAGGAGGGGGAGCGACCGAGCCGAAGGAGAGCCGAGCGGCTCGGGCGCGACGGCCGAGCGCCGTGAGCTGCGTGAGTTTCGAACGGGAGCGGAGAACTGCGTGGATCTCGGATCCAGCGGCCGAACTGCGTGTATGTCGGATCCAGCGGCTTAACTGCGTGCCTTTTATTCCAAGGTATCGATTTATCATTCTTTGAAAGCTCGTACAGCA